TTTTTTTGCCACAAAATTCAACATTTCTGGTCTTATGAACCTGTATTATTTTACCACAGGGATCCCAAACTCCAATCATCGTCAAAAAACGCTTTATTGGAGAAAAACTAAAAACTTTTTTAAAAAAGCACTAGGTGCTTTAGAAACTACGTTCTTAGCTTTAAATCTTGGCACAAACAAATTTGGACTTTTTGCATTATTTCATAGAGAACAAGGCTCTTGAAGTTGAGACCCCTAAATTCGCGTTTTTTCGAAGGTCCCAAATTTTGGTCAATTTAAAAAGTCGCTTTTTATGAACAAAATATACACTAAAAGAAAGCTGAGGATGAGGGCTTTATGGTTCTGAAGCTATCTTTTCCGATTATATAAAAGCGATGGCGTAATGAGTGAAGAAAGTTTCTGGTCTGCGGTCAACTAGTCAGCGGTCTACTGTTTTTAAACTTTTGCATATTTTTGTATGTTTTTGCCTTTCGTGTTCAACAAAAATTACGTGAATAACACCTTCAATAATGCTCTAAATAACTGCATTTACAAAAGTTTGGAAAAATTTTCAGAACGTTGAAAATGAAAAGGCGAAAACACTTCAGTTTGGGTTGCCTGTGGTTTCATTATTTTACCACAGGGATCCCAAACTCCATTGATCGCCAGATAACGCTTCATAGAAGAAAAACTAAAGATTTCTCTCAAAAAGCGCAAGATGTATTAGAAACTCCTTTATTAGCTTTAAATATTGGCACAAAGATATTTGGACTTTTCGCATTAATTCATAGGAATTTCGAAGTCCCAAATTTTCGTTAAATTATAAATAGTGTTTTTTAGAACTTTTCTGAAATTATTTTTTCCAATCATATGAAAGCAATGGTGTTATGAGTGAAGGAATTTTCTGGTCTGCGTTTGCCTTGTCAGAGGTCTACTTTTTTAAAACTTTTGCATACTTTGGTATGTTTTTGCATTTCTTTTTCAATAAAGATTACATTAATAATACATCTCACCTATGCGCTAAATAACCGCTTTCACAAAACGCAATTTTTTGTAACTTAAAATTCCTGAAAATTAACAGAAAGCATTATAATGCCTTACTCAAAAACCTAAGGCTTTTGTTTTAAGAAGTTTAAATATCCTCTTACTTTAAAACCTTTTTTAAAACAAACATTACATTTTTTAACGATTTAATTGCCATCTACATTGATTGTCCATAGAGACAAAGACATGACACTCAAGGGAGTGGTCATCCTAAAGTCTTGAAAGACGAAGGTGTTTTTGCATAGACCATGCTTTTTAAGAGTACACTTTTCTTTTGCATGCAGATTTTTCATTCTCAAGGGATTCGTAGACATCCAACAAACTTGTTCTGCTCCGCCATTTTGAAAAACGACAAGAAGCCATCAAAGTGTTTGAGAAGAAACCAGCCGTAATAAATATCCTAGACGTCT